GATGTGGGATTCTCTAGGGATTGAATCCAGGGGTTGGGAAAAAATAGCGAAATAGTTGGCGAGTGGGCTGTTTCTCAGGCTATGTGTAGAGATAGCTCATCAGCGAATGGCTGCATGATTTTCGGTTCCGTACCTAAGATGTTGCGCAATCCCTACAGCTTAGTCTTAATAACGCCTCGGGAGCAGGAACACTGGCTCTGATGGGAAGGGAAAGTCACGGCGAAGGGGGCAGAGGGCAGCCGTGTGCAAGAGGCGGGGCTGCCGTGGTGGCGGGGGCTCTGGCCGGCGCCCAAGGCCCCGGAGCTCATGCTGATGGGAGTGTGAGTCGCCCCATCCCTTTGGAAAACCGGAGAGGCTCCTCCTGCGCCGAACAGCGTGACATCCTGGGAGCCGGCGGGTCCCTCTCAGGCGCGTTCCCGCCAGCGGTGCGCATTGCTGTCCAGGGCCGCCCGAGTGTGAGGGAGCCTGGGGCCGCATGGGGCCCGCAGTCCCCACTCTTGTGCGCGACCGCCCAGGGCACGGCGGCGGGAGGGGCCAGAAACAGGGCCTCGCGGTCCGAAGCCACTCACGGGACAGCGCAACAGGCAACACAAAGCAAGACAAAAACCAGAGCAGACCCCCGCAGTGTCAGAAGGCAGCGCCCCTGATGGGCGGGAGGGACCTCAAAGGGATCTGGGGGGCTCGTGCGGCGGCCTTTCTCGGGGGCGCAGGCGCCTGTGTGTGATTCATTCAGTGGACTGTTCCGATGCCTACGCTGTTCTGTACGCTCTGTTTTAATGTGAAAAAGTTAATGGGAAAAAGAACAATGTACATTTCTTACACATAATGAGAGCACTTGTGTGCACTTTTGGACATGCGTGGAGAAGGTGCCAAGCCTTGCCTGGCGGTGCTGCTGGTCAGCTTTGGGGCACCCGTGACTTTGGGGACTTTGGAACATAAAGCCATGGGTTTGCTACAGTTTGCTTAAGGTGGTGTTTAGAAACAGTGTGGCCAGTGTGGGCTTGGGCGACCTCTCAGGTGGATACGTGTTTCCCACTTGTCTTTTCCTGCACCTTTGGAACGTTTACCATCAAAACAAATATAACTGTTCATACGTGTATTAGAAGAAAGGCCCACTGGAAGCAAATAGCGTTCACAGTGATTGCTTGAGTGGCCAGGAACTTAGGAGGGTTTTGCTTCTACCAGGAAAATTGATGAGAAGTGCGGTCACACAGAAACACGCTGGATATTGATCACCTGCTATCAGTCACCCTGTTCCTGTGGGGAGCAAGACGAACGTGGATGTATACCGATTGCAGGTCAGGCTGGTGTTCCTCCTCCTCTCAAAGTATCGGGCTGTTCCAGAAAGTAAGTTAGTTGACAGAAACGGAAGCTGCAAGGTTAATGAAATTGAGCCATGAGAACTTGCTCTTCCCTTGCGCCTGGAGTTAGGGGTCATGGAAGAACTGGCGGTGGCGGCCGGAGGCACTCAGGGCGGCTCCGGTGGCCCTGACCACGGGGCTGCTGCGTCCTCGTTCCTGAGGCCACGGCCTCGATACGGACGAGGACACGTGTGCTTTCACCTCCGGAGAACAGCGAGATAACAGGGTAACGTGGAAACATTCTTAATCAAAGGGGGAAACGCTTTGGCCCGGGAGGGACGTCGCTCCCGCCGCCCGCTGAGGACAGCTGCCGCCCCGGTCCGTGCGGCTCCGGTGGGGAGCTGCGCCGCCGGTGAACAAACAGGCAGGGCGGCAGCATTTAGCGGCGCCCGACTCTTCTTGGATTTGGGGCCTTGGTTCCTTCTGCCCCCTCGCCTTGCGACTCTGGTTCTCAAACCACGGCCCCTGGACCAGCAGCCTCACCTGGGAACTTGTTAGAAATTCAGGTTCTCAGACCCGACTGCAGACTCTGAGGGTAGGGCCCGATGGTCTGTGCTTTTAAAATGAATGAATAAGTACACATAACAAAAGTACGAACTAGGTGACACGTATGGGTACGTAACAAAACGTTAGCTGTTTTCAGGTGTGCGGTTCACTGGCGTTCGGCACATGTACCACGTTGAACAGCCATCGTCGCCATCCTTTTCCAGGACGCGCTCATCGCCCCAAACGGACCTCCACCCCGTCCCCATCCCCCGGCTGCGACGCCTGCCGTCCGCCTCCCGTCCCCCTGAGTCCCGCTTCTCTCCGTCCTCGTAAGGGGGACCCTCTGCGAGCGTGCGTGTCCCTTCCAGCCTGCCTTCGCCCACACGGCAGCCCGTGCCAGGCCGTTCTTCCTTCTGGAGGTGAATCCTATTGCAGCGTCCGGGTGGGGCCCCGTAGGTTGGGTTGTTTTTCCGGGACCACGTGGGTTGCTCCCGTGTTCCCGCTGTCGTGTCTCATGCTGCTGTGAACGTGGGCGCGTGGGCGCCTGCCCGAGCCTCTGCTTCCACGAGGTCGGGTCTTCCCGGAGGTGGGGCGGCCGGGTCAGCGGCCCCTGAGCACCTGCCGCTCCCACGGCCGCTGCTCACGCGGCCCGGCTCCCGCCCGCCCTCGCCGCTCGCGCTCTGCCCCCGTCGTAACCAGCCCGTTGCGGCAGCCCGGCCGGGCGCCTCCGCTGCCCCCTCGCACGGGCCCTTGTCACCCCTCCGTGCTGCCCCTGCGGTCGAGATGGCGGGCGCGGTAGGCTGTGCGCTGGTCGGGCGCTGGGTGTGGGGTCAGCGGGCCATTGGAGGTCTGCGCGGGCGATAGGGCCGTCCTCCCTGCTGCCGGTGGCACCGAGGGACCCCTCATCGTACTGCGGGGGGCTCCATGCCAGCAGGAGACCCTGGGGAGCGCTGGGCCTGCAGGAGTGAGGGGGACCCTGGGGCTCAGTGCCACCCCTCCACTTGGGGTGTGGCCGCCTGGGAGGGGCTGGCCCGTGCCCGCCGGGCTGAGGGCCCTGCCGGCGACCTCTGCCAGCGCCGCCTGTGCAGGGTGCGGCCGGCTGGGACGGAGCGGGGCACGCAGGACGGCCGGGCTCCCTGGGCAAACCAGGGTGGCTCCGGCCCCTCGGACCCTGGCGAGCCAGGGCCCCAGGCGTCACGGCTGCTGGCACCCGGGGCTGGCGGGTCAGCTGCCCGGGGCGCTGACAGTAGCGTGACCGGGATGGAGGCACATGTGCGTGTCCGAGGGCTCGTCGCTGGGTGCTGGTGGGTCTCCGACGGGGTCGAGCAGCCCTGAGCTGGGAGGGCCGCCCTCCGAAGGCCTGCGAGCGAGACCGCGCGGTGACGGCGGGCCCGGGGCCGGCAACCTCGGCGCCCGTCGTACTGGCCGTAGCTCGGAGGAGGGGGGCGCTCGCCGGGCCACACAGCTAGGGCGTGAGAGGCTGTGTTGCAGCCCACGCTGTGCCAGGCCAGGCCCCGCCCCCGGTCCCCGTCTTCCCTGCCTCGTGGGCCCTCGCCCCGGCGCTGCTCGGGAAGTGGCTTACGCGGGTGCATTTGCCAGGAGCGGCAGAGCCCCGTCCTTGAACTTCGCGTGGCCTCCAGGAAGCCAGGCGCCTCCTGCAGGTGTGGCCCTGGGACAGCAGAGGAGCTGCAGGAAAGGCCCCTGTTCCTGGACTCTGTTTTTGGGAAAATGACGGCGGTCCTTCTTTAGTAAACGACACTTGGAATCATAACTGTAGGTGCGTTTTCGGCTGTTACGGTATTGGGGGTGCGCGTGCGCCCCCCGCCCCTTACACAGTCACGCCCTGTGGCCACACGCACTCATGCAGACGCGGGCGCACCGACACACACGTGCTGGAGAGCTGCGTGCGCGCGCTCCCCTGCCGCCCGCTGACCAGGCCCCCGGGCAGAAGCGGAGAGGGGAGAGGGAGAGGGAAAGTGCTGGCGGAAGGCCCTGTCCCCGCCGCCCCGGGCCTCTGTGCCGCTGCCCGCGGCCACAGCGCCCTCGCTCCCTGGCGCCCGCGGGGTTCTGCGAGCCAGGGAAAGCAGTCCAGGAACAGGGGCCCTATCTGGCGACGCCACTGCCGTGCGAGGGCCGCACCTGCAGGAGGCGCCAGGCTCCCCGAGGGGGCCCACCAAGGTCAAGGACAGGGCTCCGCCGCTCCTGGCAGGCAGACACCCTCGTAAGGCAGGGGGCTCCCCAGCACACCGCGAGGCCTCGGTCAGTTTCCTTTCTTGAGCGTTCAGGTCAGCGAGGGGCGGCTGCCCGTTTGGTCCTGAGATGCTGACTCAGGTCCCCGATGGGGGCAGCCCTGTCACTCGCTCTGCAGGGTCACCAGGCTGTCGCAGGAAGAAATCCGTCGTGGCAGGCGATGCGGCCGCGTTGGGGGGTGTTAAGGGAGGAAAGGCCCCGCACTGGGCTGCACTTACTGGAATGAGACTCCCCCCCGTGGGACACTGTCACCTAATTTTTTATCCGAAGGAACTTTGTTCTCTTCAGCGCTCTCTGTACTGGACGCCAGCTGACCTTTCGGCTCGGTTTTCCTGTTTGTGTGCTGCTCAGGCATCACGTCTCTGAACTGCCCGCTGCCGGCGAGGGCCGCGCGCTGACTTCCTGTCTGCAAGGAAGCGCGGATTCTGGGGCGCAATTCTTTGTTTTGCAGGACCGGGCCCCGAGGCCTGCGTGAGCGTGCGGGGGCCTCACCAATGCTCATGGCCGCTGTCACATGTGCAAGCGGCACATGTTGCAGAAATGGGGACATGACTATGCGGCAGTTTCTTTTGTTTAACCGCTTGTCTCCGCTCTGGAGAAGGGGACTCCTTTTTGGGGCCAACTTGTCAATAAATCGCTTGCCTTTTCTCCTGCACGTTGGAAACGAGATTGGACTGGCCCTGGCCCAGAAGCGCGGGTGTGTTCGCTGGCGCGTGAGCACATGGGCCCGGGAAGAGGGCCTGGCTCTGAGCGTGGGCCTTGCATGCGAAGGAGTGGGTGTGTCCTGGGTGGGCGTGGGCTGAGTCCCGTGCTGAACTGGCCGGCAGTGCAGGGGGCCGGGTGCCGGCGGTGCCCCTCCTTCCGAGGGACGGGTCCTACCCCACGCCACCTTCTCTCCCGCAGACTTGCCGACGCCGCAGGCCTGTGAGGGGAGGGACCTGGACCCCGGTCGGATGCAGATGCCGCAGGGGAACCCACTGCTGCTGCCACACACCCTGCAGGAGCTGCTGGCCCGGGACACCGTGCAGGTGGAGCTCATCCCCGAGAAGAAGGGCCTCTTCCTCAAGCATGTGGAGTACGAGGTGTCCAGCCAGGTAGGCTGTGTGCGGCGGGAGCCCACATGGGTGGCTGGGAGGGAGGGCCCAGGGGTGGGCGCAGGGGGACCCTGCTGGCCGGGTCTCAGGGGCTCCGCCCGCCCTTGCTCTCCCTGCACCCCCTGGGAGCTCATTCGGGCAGGGCCCTGAGTAGTGGTGCACACCCCTGACTCGTTTTTTCCTTTGTGTGCGTGTTTTCTTTTTTAGGGTTTTATTTATTTTTAGAGTTGGGGACAGAGAGAGAGAGGAACATTCATGTGTGGTTGCCTCTTGCGACCCCCAACTGGGGACCTGGCCTGCAACCCAGGCCTGTGCCCTGACCGGGAATTGAGCTGGCGACCCCTTGGTTCGCAGGCTGGCGCGCAATCCACGGAGCCACACCAGCCGGGGCATATTTGATATTTTTTATAGGCTTTCTAGTTGGGCAGTTTTAGGTCACGGCAAAATTAAGCAGGAGGTACAGAGGTGTCCTGTGCCCCGGCCCTGTGTGCACAGCCGCTGCCTCTGTCCACACCCCGCCGGACACGCCGCTGTTGCCCAGGCTGCCATCCACGAGGGGTCGCTCCGGGCGCTCCCCAGCTGTGGGTCTGGACGGGCGCGCCGTGGCGTGCGCCCACCGCAGCACCGTCGTGTCCCCGAGCGGCGTCGCTGCCCTCGCAGTCCCCGGGCACCCCCCTGCTCACCCGTCTCCTCCCGAGACCCCAGCCCTGGGCAGCCCCGGGTCTGCTCCTGCCCCCGTGGCGTCGCGTTCCCCCGAGCGCCCCAGGCTTCGCTCGCAGGGTGCGCAGCCCTCGCAGGCAGGCGTCGCCCGCTCAGTGATGTTGGCGGGAGTCGGGGGCGTGTTGGGGTGTAGACGGCACTGCTCACGGATGTTGCCGGTGCAGGCGCCCACCTCCGATGCAGGCCGGGTCGTCCCGTTGGCGAGGACGCAAGCCTCGTGCGGCCGCTGGCTTCCCTGGCGACGGGCCCGCAGGCCCCCGGGACCCCCAGGGCGCGCGCCCTCGGTCCCCACATTGCGCGGTCGGCCTGACGTGGGACACGGGGCCTGCCTGGGGAGGCGCAGCGCCGCCGTGCCCACGGCGCTGACGGTGCCCGCGGAGGGCGTGCCCCGATCGAGGTGGGGAACGCGGCCCGCCTCTTCGCGCCCACCTCGGGCGTCCGACGCTCCCGCGGGCCGTGCCTTCGTCCGGAGACCCCGAACAACGCAGGCGGAGTGGAGCTGGGGCTGTGCCGCCTTCCGCGTGCTCACTGAGCGGTGTCCACGGAGCTCTCCTTTGGGCAGCGGCTGCAGCGGAAGACGGGGAGCCGGCAGCAGTGCTCCCGGCTCTGTGGGGCTGTGGCGCCGGCGCCCCTGAGTGCGGAACCCTTTGCCTCGCAGCGCTTCAAGTCCTCCGTGTACAGACGGTACAACGACTTCGTGGTCTTCCACGAGCTGCTGCTCCAGAAGTTCCCGTACCGCATGGTGCCTGCCCTGCCGCCCAAGAGGATGCTGGGAGGTACCGCTGGGCCAGCTTTGGGGGGCTGGGGAGTGGGGGACCCCCAGGGCGCTGAGATCCACTCTGCTCCTGGCCTTCTTCGCCAGTGGTGCTGGGTCCTCAGTGGCCCCGGGTCACAGCTCGGGGATGTGATGCCACCGGGTGCCCTCCGTCTCCATGGGCCCGGGCTTGGTGGCTGACCGGTGGGCAGAGAGTGGACCCCAGCGCTCCTCCCTGGGCGGGGGCTGCGCGTCCTGCCTGCTCTCGCAGAGCTGGGGACCTTGGCCCCGACGCCCTGCAGCGCCAGGCGGGTCCGGAGGGAGCGCGGCCTTCTCACCTCATCCGTGTCTCTGAGGAAACAAACGCGCTGCCCCTTCCCTGGTGCGCCCGCCGTTACCTGGGCCACGTGGGGTCCCCGACGCCAGCCCTTCTGGACAGGCCGTTTCTCCAGGGCTGCCGGGCGCCGGATGCGGTGCCGCCCACAGTCCCCTCCCGGGGACCCACACAGTCTTTCTCAAGCTTGACACACACAGCCTGGCGAGAGGGCCAGCGCCCCAGGCTGACCAGCTGGTGGTCTGCCATTTCCCAGCAGTTCCAAAGTAACAGTGTGCTCCAGTGGCGAAACAGCTTGAGATTTAATACGGTTTTCCCGTCTTCAGCATTCTGAAGCCTCAAAGCTGTACGTCAGGGCTTGTCCTTCTCCTGGTCCCCGAGGAGTGCCGTCTAGATAACGTTTCTTGCTGCCCCACGCGAGCCCGCGTAACAAGCCAGCCCGTGAGGCCGGCGGGGGAGGACGCTCAGGGCAGGTGGGCCCAGGGGTTTGGGGGAGATGAAGGCTTCCGGACCCCACGCCTCGGGAATGGCGGGCACTTGCCCGGCCGTGCAGGTCGGCGTCTGCAACGGCCTGGCCTTCTGTGCAAGGGTTCCTGCTGGTCACGAGGGGCGTTTTTCAGTAACTTTAGTATTTTAAGTACTGTCTCTGTCCCGGCTGGTGCGCTCAGTGGACTGAGCACCGGCCTGCAAGTGGAAGGGGCGCTGCTTCCTTTCCCAGTCAGGGCTCACGCTTGGGATGTGCGAGAGGCGACCACACGTTGATGCTGCCCTCCCTGTCTTTCTCCCTCCCCGCCCCTCTTTCTCTAAGTGAATTAATAAAACCTTAAAAAAAAACACTTTGTGGTCAGACTTAAATGCTTTTCACGTACATATCCACTTTTTTTCCTTGGAGTGACAATATTTAGCCCAAGGGAACTCTATTAATTGGTTCCACTCTAGGGCGAGTTGTCCATGAGGCGAATGGGAAAACCGGGTTCAATCAGCGCGTGCGTCGCCAAGCCTTTCCTTACGGGGGTCCCAGGGGGTGACTGCAGCGCGAGTGCCCCTCGGCCATCCAGACCGGGTGTGGGGGCCCTGGGCTCAGCCCCCCAGCTCTGGGCGCAGCACCCACTGCGCCAGGCTGGCCGCGTGTGGCCGCGGGCCCCTCCCTGGACGCTCCGCGCGTCCGCGGTGGAGGCGCCTGGCCCTAGGGTGCAGCGTTGCCCGGGTGGTGACTGCGGGTTCTGTTTCCAGCGGACAGGGAGTTCATCGAAGCCCGGAGGAGGGCGCTGAAGCGCTTCATCAACCTGGTGGCCCGGCACCCCCCCTTCTCGGAGGACGTGGTCCTCAAGCTGTTCCTGTCCTTCAGCGGCCCCGTGAGTACATCAGAGACGCTGGCCCCGGCCCCTGTGCCCTGCTCTCCGGCCCCCGCTCCTCCCCCGTTTGGCTGCCTGAGGGGTCGGGTTCACAGGGGCCGCGCTGCACGAGACCGTGCTCTCCCCAGAGCGCCGGTCAGCTGCGACGCTGGGCGGCCCCTCGGCCCGGGCTCCGTGGGGTTTGGTGTGTCCGCGTGGAGGTGGGGCCTCAGCGCAGCCGTGTGGGGGCTCTGTGGTTCGGAGCGTTTGCGGACGTGCCGGGGACCCCAGCTGGGAATGACCGTGTCCTTTAAAAGAAAGGTCACATTTGATGAAGGCCCTGGAAACACCAGCCGAGTCCCCCAGCGGGTCCACGGTGGCCCCGTGTGCGGGGAGCAATTGTGGCGCGTGCCACGTGGCGCCTGGCGGCGGCTCCTTTCCCCAGACGGCTGCCCGAGTGGAGACTGCCGTTGGGAAGCTGAGGCAGAGCCGTGGCCGTGGCCTGGCCCAGGGGCAGGCAGCTCTTCCGAGGGGACCCGCTCGTCATGAGCGTGGGGTGGCGGTGGCTCAAGCAAGGACGCTTTGCTGGTGGGGTGGACGAGGGCCTGACCCTCCCATACGGGGCCTCCTGGTACAGGGGCCGGGGAAGAGGCTTGGCCCCGTCCCTGCTGCAGGACGGCCCGGGGCTGGGGGCCGAGGCAGGGACGGTGGAGCCTGGCTTCCTTCTCTGCTCACTCCCTCGAGGCGGAAGCGGGTCTGACCCTAGAAAAGGCTGGGCTGTTCCACTGTGACCCCCCAGGCGACCCGTGGGTGCTGCCAGTACATGGGCCTGTGCCAGACGCCGGTGCGTGCTCGTCCTTGAGCTGGGAGGGTGTGGCTTTTGTTCCCTGGTGGGGACATGCCCCAGAACAGGGAACTTCCTTGCCAGAGGGGAATGTGGAGGGACAGGGAGCTCTCAGCGGCTGAGGACAGAGGGGGGCGGGGAGGGTGCAGCTGGGCACTGAGCCAGGCGGCCCTGGTCTGGGGGCGTCGGCCTCCACTGGCTCCTGCCTTCACACAGATGGGGTGTCCCCGGGACCCTCGACCCCATTTTCTCTCTTGGTAAAATGAGAGAATTGGGACGGATCTTCCGGGCATCTCTGGAACGCTGAGTTGCTTGACCATCCGCGCTCTGGGTTAGGGTCCCTGCGTGGGGCCTTCTGCGGCGTGGCCAGGGGCCAGGCAGGGACCTGCGAGCTGCCCTCTGCCCACCGGCCCCGCGGGGCGCTGGGGGCCTGGTCCTGCGGTCGTGCGGGTTGTTCCCAGGCAGGAAGGGAGCTCAGCCTCCGCCTCTGCTCCGTGTGGTCCTGACAGGACGAGTTAATCTGCCGCTGCCGGACACCGTCCCGGGTCTGTAGGTGGAGCCCCCTGTTCCTGGGGGAGGGGGTCCCGCTCCCCGAGTGGGGTCTTCAGTGCTGCCACTGGGGAGCCGGCCTCCCATCTGTGGACGACCCCGTGAAGCCTCAGAGCAGCGGGGAGAAGCGAACCAGAGACAGCGAGGGGCCGACGGCTTGTCACGTGCCAGTGCTTGTGGGGTCGTGGGGCGGGCGCCCGCCGTGCCTGACCCCGGGGCACCGCTCCCCGCCCCTCCCCGCAGGACGTGCAGGGCCGGCTGAAGGAGGCGGCGCAGTGCGCAGGGGACGAGTTCCTGAACTGCAGGCTGGCTCCTCGGGCCAAGGTACAGTGGGCGCGGGGCGGGGCGCGTGCTCGTTGACCCGGGGTGGCGGCCGGTGTCACAGTGCAGGGGAGGGGGAGGTGGGAGGCAGGCAGGTCAGACAGGCTGCCACCTGCCGAGGCTGCGGGCTCCTGCGCCGAATGACGCCAGGGTCCCCAAGGCTCCTTGCTGCCTGCTGAGGTTGTGGCAGCTCGGGGGCCACACGCTCGCTCCCCAGCCTCTCGGGTTTTGGGGGCCTGACCGCCCTCCTGGCGCATTTTAAATTCAGTCACATGTTTTCCTTGGGAGGATGAAGGCCATTGCTGAGTAGCTTTTTTTTGTTCCTTTTTAAGCTGCTGCTCCGTACGAAAACACCGACATTTTTACTTTGTTTTATTCCCTCAGCATTTTGTTTTTTAAGCGTGATGTAGTCAGTATGAATTAACATTCTTCAGGGAAGGAGCGGGGGGCTGCCGAGGCGCCCCTGGTCGATCCCTGTCATCCAAGTGGCAGGTCACTGGGGGAGCTCTGTGTCAGCACCTCCAGTCCGGTCTCAGTGGACACTGGAGTCGCTGCCTCAGGGGACCCTTCGGCTGTCGGTGCTGTGTGTGCGGCGACGTTGCCGCTGCTCTGAGACCTGAAGTGGGCCCGGGGGTCCCGGGCTGGTCCCACGTCGCCACGGGACCAGGCTGGGGATTCTGGGCGCCTGCGCAGGTCCCGTCGGACAGACCACTGCGCCTCCCGCGGCTCACCCTGTCTGAGAGGCGCCGCACCCCGTGACCCCCAGCAACCCTTCCCCGCCCGCAGGACTTCCTCCCGGCGGACATCCAGGCCCAGTTTGCCGTTAGCCGGGAGCTGATCCGGAACATCTACAACAGCTTCTACAAGCTTCGCGACCGGGCCGAGCGCATCGCGTCCAGGGCCATCGACAACGCCGCAGACCTGCTCACGTTCGGGAGGGAGCTGAGGCAGGTGGCCCCGCTGGGCTCCCGGGGGCGTGAGGTGGGCGGGGCCTCAGGCTTGGGGGCTGGGCTGGCAGCAGCAGGTGCGTTTGCCAGTAATAACCCCGTTCTGACCTGTTCCATTGCAAGTGTTGGGGGAGGCAGGTGGGAGAGCATGTGTGGAAGAAAACAGGCGGAGTCGGGCAGGGAGAAGAGGGTCTCTACCCTCGGACGCTCCCAGCTTCTCGTGGGTCATTTTGCCAGTTGTCAGGGTTCGACTTAGTCATGACCTCGGCAAGGACGCGCGGGCTGTGGGTGCCCTGCCTGCCCTGGAGGAGAGGCGGGCCCACCTGGATTCGGCCCCCCGGCGGGCTCCGGAGCCGGCTGGCGCCCAGCGTCCAGATGGGCCCTGCACAGGGCGGCGCGTCCCGGGGGAGGAGCAGGCGCAGCGGGGCTGGGGCCAAGGGCCCTCCTGCCGTGGGCCCCTGGCTCCCTGGCAGCCGCTGGGAGGAGCGCAGGCCTCGGGCAGGAGGCCGCAGGCCGCAGGCGGCCCGGGCAGCGTGACGCTCGGGCCGAGGGAGGCATCCGGGGGACTAGCCGGCAGTCCCCGGGCCCTGAGCGTCGTGCCTCCGCTCTGTCTCCCCTCAGCGCTTTAGGGTCCGACACGACCCCGCTCCCCTCCTGGGCCTCTCTGCACAGCGGCACGTGGGGGTCCCTCAAGCAGGCGCTGAAGGGCCTGTCCGTGGAGTTCGCCGTGCTCGCCGACAAGGCCGCGCAGCAGGTGAGTGGCCGGCCGCCCGTCGCGCCTGCTTCGAGCATGGGCGTCGAGTGGGTGACGCTGTCCTCGGGTCGGGGCCACGCGCCCCGCCTCCACCGACCCGGTGGCTCCCCGTCTGCCACTTCTGCTCCCCGGAGGGTGGCGATGACAAACCAGCGGGGCTCTGGTCTCCGGAAACTTCTCTGAAAAAACAGTCTGCCCTTGACGATGTCACTTTGGGCTTCGCTTCTGGGCGGGCCAGCGCCCACCTTGCTGTCCTGGCCTGACGGCGTCCGGCTGCACGACGACTTGTCAGACCGGGGACCCCCGCCTCCCCGGTGAACCTCAGGGAGGGCTCCCGTTGCAGGCCGGCGCTGGAGCAGGGTCTGCAGGGCCTTGTGGTCGCTGGGGTTACCCTGGGGCCCTGCCCACTGTGAGGCCTGAAGGTTCGTCTGGCTGCTTCCTTGCTGGAAAACTGTTACATGATGTTTTGGTGAGAGTTTCTTGGGGAAGTGGTGTTTCGGCTGCTGGTAGGTGGTTTTAAACGAGTCGAAACAAGGAGATCAGGAAGCCTCGCGGCCTGCCTGACTGTGGGATCTGTGGCCTCCGGGGCAGGGCCTCAGAGGCGGCATTGCGTCGGGGGCTGTGCTGCTGTGGCCGGCCACGCTGCAGGTGGGCGCACGGTGCCCCACCGTGCTGGGAAGGGAACTCGGTCTCGCTGCTGGTGCGGGAAGTCCTCGGCCTTCTTTCTCTGTGGTCCCAGTGCCTGCCTGTTCCCCCTTGAAACTGAGCGGGGGGTGGGGGCCGTCTCCAGGTCTGGGCGGTGTCTGACAGCCTGAGGGAGGACCGAGGCAATGTGTGGAGCCAGCGGGTGAGCCCCGGGGGGCCTGGCCCGGACACAGCACTGCTCTGCGCTGGGACCTCGCTCGGCAGGCGGGCGCGGTCCCTGTGCTGCCGTCCTGCCTGCCGAGGCCAAGGCAGCTGGACTCGGTTGCGGAAGACGTTTTTGATTCAGCCTGTTGAACTGAGCTCAGCCTGTGACCTAGAGACGGGGAGCTATGCTGGTCGCAGGGACCTTGGCCCGGGGCCCCCACTGCACCTCGGCCCTGGTAGCCTGCAGGGTGGGGGCAGGCACCGTGAGTCCCCGAGGGCCGGGTGGAAACCCGAATGGGGTCATGGCTAAGGTCTTTCTCGCTCTGACTCGGACCCTGCTGCCACCTTGAGCCGGCTGCGGGGTCAGGCTGCTGGTGTGGAACGAGGTCGCGCCTGGACGTCCCTCCCGGCCCCGGGGTTCTCTGGTCTGAGCGCACGTGTGCTGCTCTGAGGTTCCGTGTCTGAAGAGGTGTCGCTTCCCCAGGACTCTCATTGCCTTGCTGTCACAGTCAAGTGAAGCGAATGGTTTTAACACGAACCGGGCCGGCCGATCGACCCTTCAGGACTTTCTGCTGGGGCCGCTCCCGTTCTGCCTCCTCCCTGGACGGGATGCGCACCCGAGGGTGGGCTTCCCGCACCCTGCTGTGGTGTGTCCTGGTTTGTTCCCCAAGAGCTGCCGGGAGACCTGGGCAGCGCTCTCCCAGCTGGACACGTGGGACTCATTGTGCTGTTCTTCGGTGGTGACAGGGCACGTGCTTTTGGTGAAGGCACAGGTGCTGGTGGTTTGGGGTCTTGTGCGGCACCGAACCAGAAACGGGACTTGTCAGCAGGGCACTTGATCAGGAGGGAGCCCCGAGTCCCCGGGGGAAGGGGGCCTCCGCCTGTGCCCTCTCCCGGTCAGGACACTGGGCGCCAGTGGCTGCTGGGGTTTTCCTGTAGCATCGCTGAGTAGGCTTGGCTGCAGTGACCTCGGGGCCCTCGGTGCTGGCAGAGCTGCGGGCGGCGGGGGTCGGCGCGCCTGGCTCTCCAGGCGCTGCGGGAAGCAGCGGCTTTGGAATGGGAAGATACGCGCAGTGTGAACGGCAAGCACACGTAGCAGGCGGCCTGCAAAGTGAGGCCCCTGTTTGCGTCAACCTCTGGGTTTGGTGGCTTCTCCGCCTACTGTCCCAGTGTCCCGGGCTGTTGTGTGGGAGGGGCTCTGGGCGGAGCCTGCCCCTGCCTGGGGGTGGCGGGCTGGCTGGGCTGTCTCCTGGTCTGGCTTGTGCTTGGCGTCGGGTAACGCAGCCCATTCTCCAGGGCAGGCAGGAGGAGAGTGACGTGGTGGAGAAGCTGAACCTCTTCTTGGACTTGCTCCAGTCCTACAGAGTGAGTCCTGGTTGCACCCTGCTCGGGGGTGAGCTCTGGAGAGAGCCCGGGGAAGGGGCCCTTCCATCTCGAGAGGCATGGGACAGGGGTCCGGGAGCCCCGCTTGGAGGGCAGAAGGGCCTGCGGTCTCCGATCAAAGGTCATGGCCCCTCGGTGGGGGTGGGGGTGGGGGTGGGGGTGGGGGTGGGGGTGGGGACTGACCTGGGCTGTGGCCCTGCAGGCATCACCAGTCTGAGGGCGGGGGCGGGGGTGTGTCTGAGTGTGTGCGTGCGTGTGCCACAGGGATGGGAGGTGGGTAGCACAGCTCTGTGCACACCCGAGGGGCTGGCTCCGTGCGGCGTGAGCGGGCCTCTCCAGGGGTGGAGGACCGGGACGCGGGGCCTCCGCCCGGGGGTGTGGGGCGGCTTCCTGCCTGTGGGGTGGCCTGGCGGAATGCCTCGCCTGTGCGCCCAGAGCCCTTTGTGCCGAGCTCTCGGAGAGCTGGCCCTGGTCTGTGGGAATGTCCAGAAAGCCTTTCTCCGCTGAGCGGGCTGCTGCCACATGGCCTCAGAAGCCCCAGCCCTGGCGGCCGTGTGGCTGCTGCTGCCCACGAGGCTTCCGAGGGGCATCTTACAGCCCCAGTGCTGCCTCAGCGCCTTCCTGCTCCTGGGGACTGGGGGTCCCTGGCTTTCTGCGAAGGGGGCGGCGTGCCCACGCGCCCTCCGGTCTGGAGCCCCTGCCTCCTGCTGGCAGGGGCTGCAGCGCCGCCCTCCTGTCCCCCCGCCAGGACCTGTGTGAGCGGCATGAGAAGGGCGTGCTGCACAAGCACCAGCGGGCCCTGCACAAGTACAGCCTGATGAAAAGGCAAATGAGCGCCGCTGCGCACGGCCGCGAGCCCGAGTCCGTGGAGCGGCTGGAGTCACGCATCATGGAGGTACGGGGGGCGGGGGCCTGCCTCCCTGCTGCGGCCTGACCTAGAGCTGCACTTGAGGCCACCCCGGCTGTTCCCTGGGCACTGCCGGTCCCGTGGCGGGGCCGCGGGGCAGTTCCCCGGGGCGGGGGGCGGGGGGCGGGGGGCGGGGGGCGAGTGTCACGGCCGTCCGTCCCCGGGCCGGGAGCAAGGCAGGCTCTTTGCGCTGCAGCAGGAGAACACCATTCAGACGATGGAGCTGCGGAACCACTTCTCCCTGTACTGCCTCCACCAGGAGACGCAGCTGGTGCACGCCTACCTGCCCCTCACCTCCCACATCCTCGGGGCCTTCGTCAACTCCCAGGTCCAAGGGCACAAGGAGGTGGGCTCTGGCGCCGCCTGCAGGCCTCCCTCAGGAAGCTAGTGGTCTGGGGCGCGCGCGCGGGCCCCTGACTGGCGTCCGACCTGCCCCCTGGTGCACAGCCAGGTGCCCCTCCTCAACATGAGGTCGTCGTCGGGCTCCCAGGGGGCTGGCCGGCTCCTATCTTCTGGAGGAACCCAGGGGTCAGGGACGGGCCAGAACCCCCAGAACCAAGAGAAGGGGCGGTGGGCGTGGGAGTGAGGAGAGGTGCTGAGCTGGGCGCCTCCCTGCAGAGCCTGCTGGGAGAACCGCCCTTGCCCTGAGGGTGGAGGTTGGGACGACACCTGCCCATCCGGGTCACCTAGAGCTATCAGTCCGAGCTCCTGCCACCGTCCCCAGCAGCGACCTGCACATCCGCGGCCTTCGTGCGGCCGGGACTGGAGCCCATGGGAGCCAACCCCTGTGCAGCCTTACGTTGGCCGACCACAGCTCCTGCTCCCGGCGGGCTCCGTCCTGGGCTCCTCCTAGGCTTCTCCTGGGCCCTGGTTAGCCCTGGGGTGCAGGCGCCGCCTCAGCAGGTGCGCCTGCTGGTGGCCACCCCCAGCTGGGGTGGTGGGGTCTCGGGCTTGGAATTCCAGAAACCTGATGCTGAGCCCGGCCCTGCGGCTGTTGGCTGTTTGGAGCTCTGGGGCCTTGGCCAGCCAGTGACGTCTGTGGCCGGTTTTCCTGTCTGAAAAAGGGTGTAAAACCCAGCAGCCCGGGAAGGCAGGGGGAGCTGAGCTGCAGGCAGCCCCGGTCTGTGGCTCGCCGGCCCTGTCACCTGGGGAGCACGGAGCCCCGGGCGGGCAGCATGCTGGAGAGCGGGGCGCGGTGCTCTGCCCGGAGCCCGTGAGCAGCGTGTGTGCTCGGAGCCACAGTTCACCGAGGGCACCGGTGACAGGCCGCGGGCGGAGGCCTGCCAGTCAGAGGCTGGGTGGGGTCAGTCGTCTGACCCCAGGCGGCTGTGACTGTCGGTGGACAGCCGAGCGTGACGCTCGTGGAGCTGTTAGAGTGCAGGGAGTGGCACAGCGTTCCCCAGGCTTCTGTGTCCTGCAGGCTCGTGCCGCCTGGGTCCTGCGTGCAGGGGCCAAAGGGACCAGCCGCCCGTCACCGCTGGCTTTGCACCCGCTCTTACTGTGGGCTCTGTGTGTGGAGGACTGGGCCACGATGCAGGGAGTGGGCAGGGCCGCGTGGGGCAGGGGGCACGCGGCCGGTGGTGGCGTGGCTGGGGCGGGCCGCCTCCGAGTGCGGCGTGACAGCTGTGCGTGGGGGTGGCGCCCGCCCGCCTGACCCGTCCCCCCCTCCCCGCAGATGAGCAAGGTGTGGAACGACCTGAAGCCCAAGCTGCACTGCCTCTTCACGGGACCCAACAGCACCCTGACCCCGCCGAGGTCCCCGAGGGATGGCCTGTCTCCTCACTAGCGCCCAGCGGACCCGGTCCCCACTAAAACCTCTTTCCAAATGGCGTGTCCCTGTCTAATTCCCTTCAGGTGGCGGCTGTTCCCCGTGTCGCACTGGCCGCTGCCCCTGGAGCAGAAGAGCTGGCAGCAGAGCCGGGGGGTGGGGTCCGGGTGCCGCAGCTCCCCACCCCCACCCCCCCGCGGGAGCTGGGCCGGGGATGTGACCCGGGTCTCTGAGCGTCCCTCGAAGCTGAGGCCACCTGGGGTCTGCCTGTTGCCCCTGACCCTGGCGCTGTGGCCTGTTGGTTGGGGAAACATGCCCTGGAGTGGCCTCCAGACAACCAGAGGGCAGGGCGGCAAGGGCGGCTCTCCCGCAGACGGTGCCTGGGGGCCTGCCGGGGACGCCGCGTGCTGGGGGGGGCTGCGCGTCGGCCGAGTGGGGAGAAGGCGCTGGAACCGTGCGGAGGGCAGGGCGGCCCCTGCGGTGGGCGTGCCGCGCTGGACAGGGCTCGGGCCAGCAAGAAGGCAGCCGGGCGGCAGAGGCCGGCAGGCAGTTCTGGGCGGGGGTGGTGCGGCCGGGTGATGGCGCCTGAGCTGCAGCAGGAGCCAGAGGGGGAGGCGGCGCTGAGGGTGGCGGCTGGGGGCTCAGACGGCTCACTTGTGGGGGACAAGGTCCAGTGAAGGGTACTGGCCTGAGACTGGCCTGGGGCAGCGCCCCGTCCCTCCCTACACACATGCATGTGTGCACACTGCTCTGCGGCGCGTTGTGTGCCGTGGTCTGAGGTGTGGAAGGCAAGGTCTGGTGCCGTCTGTCTGGGGCAGGAGCTGCTCTGTGTCGTCGGGTGGGTGCCCGAGGCTGCGAGGGCAGAGTGGGGGAGGGCTGTGGGCCCACGAGCTGCCTGCTGCTATGGGGAACGTTTCAACGGCCCTCCTGGTTCGGGCCACTCGGACCCTCCTTCTGGACTTCAGCACTTGCTGACCCAGCCACCTGCTCCCAGGGCCGAGGGGGCGGGTGCAGGTTGCGTCCTGCCCTGGGTGTGTGGACGGGGAGCCGTTGGGGCCCTTGTGGGACAGGTGCTGGGGGAGGCTCTGGCTGTGCCGGGGGGGCCTCAGGGCCTGCCTTCCAGGCCGCCTGGCAGCCCTGGCTGTCCCCCCCCCCGCCCCCGCCTGGGATCGTCTGACTTACGCACGTGGGTCGCGCAGGACCCTGAGCCACGGTGGGTGCTGGCATGGCTACCCCTGCAGGCAGGGCGACGCATGTCACTCCCCAGGGAAGCGTCCCCTGGGCGCACCTGCGCTGCGTTCGGTCTGTGCAGAGGCAGCCGCGGGGTGTGGGGAGGCCGCTGTGCCTCCCCAGCCCGAGGCCCTGCCGTGGCCGACATGTGCCTTCCCGGGCTGAGGCGCCCGGCAGCATCTCCCAGTGCCCGGCGGGTGGAGGCCAGCGCTGCCTCTTGTCCTCCCTCCTGGGCATCAGACCCCCGGCGGCACTGAGCATACTGCCGCGCGCAGGGCCGGCCCTCCTGGCACTGCGCATGCTTGAGCCGTCCTGCGGCCAGGCCGCTCCTGGCCTGTCCCTCGGTGGCAGCTGCTGCTCGCCTGCCTGGGGCCTGTTGTGGGTGGCGGGGGACAAGGGGTGACAAGGGGCATCTCCCAGGACAGGCTGAGGCACTGCTCATGCAGGTCGCTGGTGCGGGGTAGCAGGCTGCACACTGGCCCCCCCAGAGCTGCCCTTCTCAGCCCCGGGAAGCCAGCGTGCCACCATGGCCTCGCCCCCAGCAGTGGTAGGGCCCCGGACGGCAGCCTTCCCGCTTCAGAGGGGTCACCACGCCTGCTTCCGGAGGCCAGAGTGCCGGCAGTGCCACCACCTTTGCCCGGCCCTCAGCAGCTACCAAAGACACTCGCCACTGTGGGGCACACGGCGCAGAGCCTGGCGGGGTGTGGGGCCCCGCGACCGCCATCTGCGCCTTGGTGCCCGAGGCCCTTCCTCTTCCTGTGCCTGAGTCAGCGTCACGCGTGAAGCACTTTACCCGCTGGCTGCCCGAATCTGTGAACCCCTCACCCCGGGAGCTGGAACTGTTTACAAGTGGTCCACATTCCAAGATTTTCATCAGTCAGCTATCATGAACAAATGTTATTAAACGTATTTATAAAAGTTGGGAGAGTTGTGAGTTCTTGGTGGAAGTGAGCGGTGCCTCCTTCCTGGTCGGCAACCAGGAGAAAGGCCCTGCCCTCGGGCAGAGGGCAGCCTGTCTGCAGTGGGTGGGCGGGACCTTTGGCCTTGGACCCCTGGCTCTGCCCCCATGTCCCCTGGTATAAATACAGAACCACAGGGTGGCAAGGACATACCTGCCATGCACCCGTGACCCTCATAGGAGCCCGTGGCTCTGACCACATTCAGTGCCCTCCCTCCCCCCAGCAGCCACCTGGGCGCACAGGAGCTGTTCCCTCTCCCTGTAGGCCTGTGCCCAGCGGTGCAGGCTACAGCCCAGCACTTCTGGCGACTTCCTGAGGACAGGCCGGGGCTGGCTGTAGAGGCGCCTGGTGAGGAACGTTGAAAAAGCAAGACGTTTATTACATTTTCCTTCTCCAATCACATTCCAAACCCCAGGTGCGGCGCGGCCCAGGGCCCAGCACACAGCGTGGGCAGGGGTCTGCCCCTACACGTCGGCCACCTCGTGCAGCTTGTAGTCCAGGATGGTGTCCTGGCCCTGGAACTTGAAGTACCCGTGGAATTTCTTCTTCTGAAGCAGGAGGGGAAACCAGTAGCTGTCATCTGGCCACATGTCAGAGAAGGGGATGCAGTCCAGCGGGAACCACTGAGGCCGCATCTCTGTAGTGGGGGGAGAAATGCCTGTGAGCCCAGATCTGAACTGATCTTTGCTGGGGCACCCACCGCGGCGGGAGGGGCTTTGACGGAGCCTTCCTCACGGCGGCCGGAGCAGGAAGCGGGCGTGGTGCGCACTCCCCAGCCAGGGGCGGGGCGGGGCTGCGGGCTGCCCTCCACTCACCATCGCTCTCCGCGGGGGTCCCCTGGACGCAGTCCGCACGGAAGATGTGCACCTCCATCAGCTCGGGCTTGCCCTCGAATTCAAACACGATGCGGCCCGCCTTGTGCAGCGTGTCCGCGGTCACGCCGCACTCCTCCTGCAGCTCCCTGCGGGCGAAGCGGGCCACGTCTGAAGCGCGGGCCGGGCTGCCGAGCCAGGCACGGCGCTGCGGGGGTGGGGCGGCGGCGAGGAGCGAGCCCTCCGGACCGCTGCGTGCACGGCGCACACGGCGGGGGCTGGGCCGCAGGAGGGCTCCCCACCCAGCAGGGCTTTGCATGACCCAGACCTTCCAGAACTGGCTGGGCCCGAGGTCCTGGGGAGGGGTCAGGGCTGTGACGGCGCTGGCCTGGGTGCGCAGGACTCACCGGTCCGCACAGCCCGGGACCCCGTGGCAGCCCAGGCCCGGCTGGGCTCCGCTGCTTGGCTGCTCATGGGAGGAGGTTGGTAGAACTGGGAAACCCCCAGCCGCCCACAGCTCCTGCTCCCCGCACTGGCCCCACCAGCTGCAGGCTGCAAGACCCCGGGCCCGGAACTGGAGCCCTTGGGCAAGAGGGGTCATCCTTCCTCCCCCTGCGCTGAGAGCCCAAAGCCGTGCCGCAGGCTCCCGCTGTGGCAGCCGTTGTCCCAACCGGGGAGGCCCCCCCGCCCCGTTCTCAGAGCCCCTGCGCGGGGAGGGGGTAAGCGTCCGTCTCCACCAGCACAGCCCCGATGCCCCACCCATGGCGGTGCCGACGCAGACTTAAAAATGGTGCCCGTCACACGTGGGGCCTCCTCGCCCAGAAGGAGCCCGGCCGCCGCCGCGCTCCAGCCCTCGCCCTCGGGTGTTTCTCCTGTGGACAGCCCTGCAGAGCCGCTGCGGACACGGCCGCTGCGCCCTCGCGCACCGCGGAGCCCCCGGGCGCCTCGCCTGCGGCTCCAGGACAACACGCAGCCTCGGCTTGCTCGGTCGCCAGGTCGCCCTGCCTTCCCGGAGGTCCAGGCGGGGGCCTCTGGGGACCAAGGCCGCTGCCCCCCGGGGGCTCGAAGCCTGCGCCTCTCTGTTCAGAGACTCTCACTTCCCCGCTGCCCTATATTTGTTTGTTTCTATAAAAACGTTCTAACTCTGCCTGCCCATTTATAGCTGTATGTAGTTTTTTTTAGCTTTATCTTCACGGGCTTAAGACTGTGATACAGTTACTCTGTGTGCCGCAGCAGGGAGTCAGAGAAAACACTTTGTTCTTTTAAAACATGCACATTGGGTTGAAATGGCCTCATTTCGGTGGATCCACCGTGCCCTTCCCCGAGGGCTGGAACAACTTCCACCTGTGGCTGCTTGAGCTGGGCTGCACTCGCTGAGACGGTTAGTGAAAATTAGGCTTCACCTGAGAAGCCCGAACGTGGTTTCACGTGGGGCACAGAGGACTCCCCAGTTAAAGGAAGGAGAGCCCGCCGGCCCTGCCCGCCCCTCCGGCAGCAGGCCGGCAGGTCTGCGTGTGAAACACTTTGTGCCCTGGGTCAGAGTGTTGGCTGATTTTGGTGTCTTTCTCCCGAGCCCATGGCCGTGCATGAAGCATCTAACCCTCGGCGGCGGGCGCTGCAGGCGGGACGACGCCGTTCGCACTGTGCCCGGTCGTGCCCGGTCGTGCCCGCGACGCTGTGCCCCGAGGGCGGGTGGAGAACGCAGAGCCGAGCAGCTGCGGTGGGGACGGGGCGGCCCCGCCCCCGCAGCCTGGACCTGCCGCAGCCGCGCCTCTGCCGGCGCCGCCTGCCGGCTCTGAGCGTGGCGCTCTGCATCCCCACCACCTCGGGGGGCGCGAGGGACGCGGGCCAGAAAGGTGGGCACGCCCGCCCTCCGACAGTCCAAATGGCCTTTCCGAGGGGCTCTGGCCACCAAGAGAACACGTCCTCTTTGGAGTTCAGGTGCCCCCCCCACCCCGAATGTTGGATACATTCTGGAAGGGACTCCTACACGCCAGCCCAAGTGCACGGGTGAGGGAGGCTCTGGAGATGCCGCTGCTTTGGGACCCAGAAGGGCTGCTTGGCAGATAAAGCGGCGCCAGCCTCACTGCTGAGGCCGCCGGGGCCGGGGCGGCCAGCCTGCTCCGCACCTGTACCAGATGCACCATCGGGCCTGCCCCTCCCCCCCACAGGGCAGGGGCGTAACGGTCCTTCCTCCGAGGCGTCCTGACCCTTAGCCCCACCGCCACCCCACACTCGAGGCTGGTGCCCCAGGGCCCTCAGGGGAGGAGCGGCATCTTGGGAAGGACTCCTCAGCGCTGACCTGTGGCCCTGGAGCCGGCATGGTGGCACGGGGTCCCCGCAACTGACTGGTCCCAATCGGGGACAGTGTGGGGCCCTGGATGCCGACTTTCTGACCTCAGTCGCAGCGCGGCCTGGCCCTCTGGCTCACCGCCTCTGAGCGTGGAAGCCACTAAAGCCCGCGGCCACCGGGGATAGTGTTTCCAGGGGCAGCCCGCTGCCTGCAGGGCAGGGACGCCCCGTGGATGCCTGTCCAAAGGGGAGCATTGTCCACAGCGCCCCCTGCTGGAGGAGGCCCCACAGTGCAGAGCATCGTGGGCCTGAGAGCGTGCGTGAGACCATCACCACACCGCTGTGAGCCTGCAGGGTGTGTGCCCCGCGGCCGGGTCAGGACAGAGGAGAGGAGTGAGGGCACGGCCCCGGGGCTGCCAGTCGGGGCCACTGGTGGCCCAGTGACTGTGGAGGCCCAGTGCAGCGTCCGGTCAGCTGTGCCGAGCTGACTCATTTGTCCATCCAGCCCCGTAACGCAGGCACTGGACGAGCGGGAGAGGAACGGCGTCCTGGCTGCCCCATCCGTCGCGGGACCGTGTGCGACACAGGTGACACCGGTAGCGGGGACACGTGGTCCTACAGTGAGCCATGCTGTGGCAGCTGCACAGCCAATGTGGAGAGAAGCCCAACCCCAGGCGCCCGAAGCGCCAGCCGTACAGAAAACCAGACCTGTTTATAGCCTTAACGGTCAACAAATGCGCAAAGATAAGAGTTATCCTTGTCTTTCCCTCAGCCACCATGTGGGTAGGAATTGAGAGTGGAATAAGTGCTGCAAGAAAACACCCACCATCCCCGAATTCTGTCCCCCGTCAAACAGTCCTTCAAAAGGGAAGGAGAGGTGCAGACAGACAGGAAGGTCTGGTTCTCAGACAGAAATCCAGGGCTCCGTGGCCCGCCCGGTAAGAAACGCTGACAGGTCTTCAAAGGAGGGAAGCGACAGCTCAGGAACTTAGATCTACGTGAAGGGTGAGCATCGAAGGAGAATACGTTGAGGCAAGATATTTTATTTTTCTCATTCTAATTCATCTCACAGATAAAAAAAAGTGTGTTTGAAATGACAGCAGGGACGCATCCGCTCATGCATGTATCCCGTGTGTGTATTTCTGTGCCACTGTGACGTATGTGTGAGGCAAGTGGGGCCGGGGAGGGGTGGGGCCGCAGGTGCGAGGCAGCCCCGACACCTGCAGGGCGCGCGTCTTCCACAGGTGGGCCGGGATCGGGGGCCAGCGAATCAGACTCGGGCCGCCACTGGAACAGGTGGAAATGAAGAGCAGTGGAGATGCTGACCAAGGAGAGAAGCTGCTTCCTGGGAAACGCTCCCCTAAAGCCCCGGGAGGCAGAGGAGAGCAGAAGGCACAGCGGAGAAGGGAGCGCGGGCAGAGGTCGGCATGGGGGCCCGCTGTGTGTTGCCTACCAGGAACACGTTCCAGATAAAGATGAAAAGTGTAAAGACTAGACGGTATAAAGAGTGAGACATGCCAATTAAAAGTGAATGGGGGAGCAAGTCCCCTGCCCCGGATGCCAGGGCAGTGGGCGGAGCTGTGCTCAGAACTGCTTCCAAAGCAGGGAGAGCGATGGGGTGCAGAGGGGCTTCCCGAACGGGAGGGGGTCGGTTCTCCAGACGCCACCCCTCACGTGCACGTGCCTAATGACAACGTCAAACTACGAGTTGCAGAACTCACTGGACCGCAGCGACACACTGCCCACCGTCACGGTTGGAGATGCCACGCAGATCTGTGTACATTTCGCTATGTCCCTTACAGAACTACAAATAAAAGATGGGCAAGCCAGTTTAAAAAACGAGCGAAAGATGTGAGCAGACACGTGTCTCTCTCTCACACACACACACAGGTGTCCAAGGGGGTCTACCCACACTGAGCAGGCGCTAAGCTTTGTCAGTCACTTGGGCAAACAATGCAAACCTCAGTGAGGCATCAGCGCCCTCCTGCAGCGGCCGAACGGGCAGGGGTGTAGAACGGCCAGTGCCGCAGAGGACTCAGAAGCGGGACTCAGGGCTGGGGCGCTCTAGGGAGTCCGGCCTCCCAGGGCGGCGGACAGTCTCTGCCGCGCCGGACCAACTCTGATGCTCCTCCTGGGGAATGCACGCCAGGAAAGGGTGTGCACGGCCCCCGCGCCGGGCAGGCCTAGCAGAACTGTCCACAAGCCCAAGCTGGAACGCACCAGGTGCTCGCCACTGGAAGCAGCCGCTGCAGGGCGTTCGTAGCTGGAACTCAGCACAGCAGCGAGGCGGCGGACCATCGCTCTGCGTGGACGGAACGCTGGGAGGGGCCCAGACACAAAGGCATGTCCTACTTACAAGGTGTTTTCGGACAAGCCCAAGTCACCCACTGTGACAGAAGGCAGGGTGCATAGCTGCCTTTGGGGGCGTCTAGTGTCTAAACACCCCTGATGAGGAACTGCACTTTCCCATCCACACACTGTACTTCAACTCAAACTTGACTTAGGAAGTGTCTGAGTCCCAGCCTCACAGAGCGCTGCTTGGGATGGGGTGCATGGGGGGAGGACGGATGGGAAAGGACGGACTAAAGGACTGGAAATGAGGGTGCTGTGAAGGAAACGCACAGGATGAGATTTACCGGCGCGGGGGGGCGGGGCCGGCGCCTGCTTAGATGTGAGGGCTGATGGGGAGTTAGCCGGGTCAGCCAGGAGGTGCAGCGGGGAGGGTGGCAGCCTGGGGTGTCCTGGGGACAGAGGTGGGAGGACTGACCAGTCCTCGCTAGAAAGAGGAAGCCAGGACTTTTCACCCGAGCGGCGAACACAGCAGCTTCCCAAACGCGCCCTGAAAACCCGCCTTGAGCACTCAGCCCGCGGCACTGCCAAGCCCTTCACCTGCCCCATCCCAACTAAGCGCCGACGCGGTGGGCGCTGCTGTCAGTTCTACTTCGGAGGTGAAGAACTCAGGCTCAAGGGTTAGGCACCTGCTTCCGGGCCCAGGACTCAAAGGGGTGAAACCAGGGGTCCGGCTCTGCCGCTGGAACCCTTGCCCCGCGAGAGCTGGTCCCGCGAGAGCTGGTCCGTGGTCAGGCTCGTCCCTCCTCACCTCTTGGCCCCGTCCTCGACGGTCTCTCCTTCTTCAACTTTGCCGCCAAAGCCGTTCCACCGGCCGGCTCCGAAGCCCCGCTTCTTCATGCCCAGGAGGACTCGCTGGGGCTGCACCACTAGCACCAGGGTGTACAGCCGGGAGACGCCCATGGAGCCCTCGATTCTAGGAGGAAGGGAGGGGGAGCGACAGCGGCACTCGGGCGCGGAAGGGGGTGGCCGGAAGCCGGCGCCCCGCGGCGGGCCCGTGCTTCCCGCGCTCTCGGAGCCTGCACGCCGCTGCCGGGGGGCGTGGCCTCGGGCCGGAAGCCGGGCCGGCACTTCCGGCGGCGCGAGCTGGTCAGCGCCCATGGCGGGGTGAGCGGCGCCCGGACGCGGGGGGGCGGTGGCGCGCGCACGGTCGTGCGCTCCACGGCACTTACGGAGCGCCTGCTGCGTGCGCGCGGGAGGCGGGAGGGGCCGGGGTCCACGCAGGCGTCCCGGTCCGAAGGGACGTAGATCCGCCCCTAGCCCTAGCGCGGACTTGTCCGCCCGTCGGGGTGAGCGAGGGAGGCCTGCGACCTCGGAGCACACCGTCGGCAAGGCCCCGAGGAGCGAGGGGCGGGCAAGGAGCTGGGCAGGGCTTAGGAACAGGAGGGGGCAGGTGGGCGGCCCTGCAGGTGGAGGCGAAGCCCGCAGGCCCGAAGGTTGTGGAGTAGAGCTGAGAGGAGAGGCTGAAGGGGCTGAACCCGGGTGTGGGACGGGGCGGGGGGGGGCGGAGGAGGGCAGCTGCCCCGATCAGGGGATGGGATGGTGTGACTCCAGTCTCCATCCCTCCCCCGGCCCTTGGGATGGGTTCTGGAGCCCAGGACCACTTCAGTATGAATTTTGGGGGTCACAGCTTAGTCCATACACCTGCCTCCTGGCCTCCTGGCTTTGTCAAGCTGCCTCCCTTCGCGGGCCTCCGCGCAGGGCCCCTAGAAACGCGCGTCGCCCCGAGGGCCCCTCCCAGCGCAGGACTTCCGGGGCGTGACGCCAGCCCGCCTGCTCCCTTTTCCCGATCAGGTCCTGGAAGCTGGTGGGCGCGTCCCTTCGGCGGCACAGGTTCCACACTGTCGGGAGTCACTGCAAGGCTCGTACCGGCGCTGAGCACCTGTGGCTGACACGGCAGTTGAAGGACCCGTTTGTGAAGGCTGCGAAGGTGGAGAGTTATCGGTGTCGAAGCGCCTTCAAGCTTCTGGAGATGGATGCCAGGCACCGGATCCTGCGGCCCGGCCTCCGGGTGTTAGACTGCGGGGCGGCCCCTGGGGCGTGGAGCCAGGTGGCTGTGCAGAGGGTCAACGCCGCAGGCGCAGGTGGGGTCCCTGCAACGCGCAGGGCCGGTGGGAATCTGTAGAGGCCGTGAGCCAGAGGACTGGGGGCACAGAGCGGTTGAGCTCTTTTCTTCGCCTAGTGCCCATGACGGCACCCGCGGAGGATTCTAGGTCCTGGTCCCCTGGAGCCCGCCATGTCCTCGAGGTTCTGCTGGGGCTGCTCCGCTTTCACAGCCGGGGCTCCAGGTTCTCAACTCTGGCTCAGCCCCAGGGGCCCTCCTTTTTCACATTTTTAGGTTTTTTAAAAAAACTAGAGAGAAGGGAAGGAAGGGAGAAGGTAAGGAAGAGGAACGTCAATGTGGGAGAGAGAAATCCATCTGTTGCGTCTCACAGGCCCCCAGCTGGGGACCTGGCCCGCAACCCAGGCCTGTGCCCTGACTGGGAATGGAACCAGTGGCCTTTTGGTTCGCTGGCCGGCGCTCAGTCCCCTGAGCCACACCCGTCAGGACTTTTTTTTTTTTGAATTTTTATAAAGAATTTACCCGGATTAATAGGTAAACCAGCACCCATGCAACTTAAACAGTGACATCATCCTTTTGGGCAGGTACTGGTGGTTCTGCCCCCCGCTGGGGCATCATTCTCACGCTGCGGTGAGGGTCCTCGCCACCGGCATTTCCTGCCATAGAGCCTCAGGGTCCTGTATGCACTGGCGTTAATAAAGACCCTTGTGACGGTTCACAAAGTTCCCTCCAAAACACCTGAGAATGGGGCCCCTTTTCCTCATGAGAAGGTGGACGGTCAGAGGAGGGTGTGACTTTCAGAGAGTGCAGCGCGGGGCCTGCCTGAACCTTCAGCCGCCCCACCGTGTGGCTGGGGCACCGCAGGGGCTCGGGAACAGCAGGGCACGTTTTTAGCTCGAGTACATCTTGACCAGTGAGTGAATTGGGGTCCGAAAATTCGCTGGCATCGCCAGCTGACCCAGAGACCTGCCTCCAGTGGCTCCCCTCCCCCGAGGGCTCTCCAGGAGAAGCAGGTGGCTGGCCGGGCTCCCCTTGCCTTGTTCTCCCAGACGTCGCCCAGCTGCGCCCAAAGCCGTCTGCTGTTAGTGGATACTCCTCGAGGTTGTGACGTGGGGTGTTGAAGGAAGGGCACAGCGCGTACAGCCAGGCGTAAGGGACCCCACTGTCCAGGGTTGGAAAGGCAGAGCTTGGCCTTTAAGAAACAAAGTTCTCTGCAAAGTCCTCAGACGTCTAACCTTCACATAGAAGTAAAACGCATTTCCATTCTTCCTTCTGTGGAACAGCCTTTTTGCTGAACAGACTAAATTCACAAATCTGTGAATGCCCTAAATTTATCAGCCTTGACATGTGTCAGCAGAATGAACTCAGAGTAGGGAGGTTGCACAGGGAAGGGACCCCAAGGCCCATAAGAGGGGAGCTTTGCAGCCCGAGGGGAAGGGGAGGTAGGCTGGGGACAGCAGTGTGTGGGCAAAAGGTGGTGTTTTACGTAACATGAAACAATGTCTTTTTACTTCCCAACGGGTGGCACTCAGATACAGGCAAGAGATCGGTTTTGGACCTTATTTTGCACCTGTATTCTCCCCCACATCTTGGCTTGTTTCTAATGAGAGAATTTGGCTGAAGCCGAGGAAGGCGCTTGCGGATTTAACTCAGAGGCCCTTCGGTGTGTATCATTTTCTATTGATCAGAGGAGCATTCAGAGAGAGGGGCCCTCACGGAGAGCAGCCTCGGGGTGGGGTGAAATGACAGTCTGCGGCGTGGCGCCAGGTCTGCCTTGTCTCCGGGACAGTCACTTAGCCTCTGTGGGCTGCAGTTTCCCCAGACGAACAGCCACCACTGCCTCAGGTGTTCCTGTAGGATGTATACAAAGTGGTGTTGGGGGGACGACGACTCTATTTTGTTACTTTGTTGCACATTTACAGGAAGAATCAGGGTGTAAATAAGTAACTCTCACTGTTTATCTTCCTTAGATCCCGGCAGTCCTGCTGGCTTTGTGCTGGGGGTAGATCTTCTCCACATATCAGCCCTGGAGGGAGCAACTTTTCTGTGCCCTGCTGATGTGACTGACCCAAAAACCTTCCAGAGGATCCAAGAACTGCTTCCTGGTGGGAGAGCAGATGTAATTCTGAGTGACATGGCACCCAACGCCACAGGGATCCGGGGCCTGGACCACGACAGGCTCATTGGCTTGTGCTTGTCCCTTCTGGACATGGCTGCAGACATCCTGCACCCTGGGGGGGCCTTCCTGTGTAAGACCTGGGCTGGAAGTCAAAGCCATCGGCTGCAGAAGAGACTGACAGAGGAGTTCCAGCGCACGAGGACCCTGAAGCCTGAAGCCAGCAGGAAGGACTCCGCGGAGGTGTACCTCCTGGCCACGCAGTATCGCGGGGTACAGGGCGCCCGCAAGGGCTGAGCTCCCTGCGGCCCTCGCTGGTCCTTTTCATTGCAAGTGCTCACAGGACAAGTGGGGGACTTTTTTTTGTTTTTTTTTTTAATTAAAAAGAGGACAAAACTATTCAGTGATTGTGATGAAAAACGGCCCATCACATGATTTGTGAAGAGGGAGTTTCGGGAGAGAGAGAGACAAGATGAAAAGATGGGAGGAAAAGACAAAAATGTACTGAGGCGGAGCTGGCAAGGCTGGCTGGCCTCCCTGCCTGCGCTCATCTCGCAGACGTAGCCAGTTACAGAGCAGCGGGTGCCTCCGTTGCTCCAGGGGCCACGCGGGTTTCTGGTTGTAATTTTGGCCATGCCCTGCAATGTAGAAAAATTCGAGATTACAGGCTGGGAATTAATTCCCATCCGTCTGGCGAATGATTGGGAAAGACACCCGTTCCTCCAGCAGAGAGAATGCCCGGTGCAGTTAGGGAGGAGGTTTGGTAGAGTTTATGCCCAGGGTGGGTGTGCCAGGGTTTTGCCGGAAGTCCTCGCAGCCGGGACGCCCGGGCTGCCTAGACCATAAAGGAAGTTGCCACGGGGCGCAGCGACGCGGTGTCCGTCTCTTTCCTTTCGCTCCTCCGGCGCCCCCTGCCGCTTGTGACCCAGCGTGGGCTGTGTTATCTGAAAGCACTGCCGTGCTTGGGAGTTTGTTTTTGTGAAAAGCGTACTGGTTTCTTCCAAGCCGTTTGCCCCCAGAAGTGTACCCACGGCAGCGGTGACCGAATCCCGAGGACCCGGGAGTCTCCCTCGGGGCCCTAGCGCTTAGCCCGCACCCGAAGTTCCCTGCGGGACGGGGTTTGGCGTTGCATCGCATTTTCCGGTGGGAGTCGCTGGCGAAGTCCGGAGACCCCGCCGTCCCGCCGCCGCGACAGGCTGCCTTCCGGGCCCGCGCAGACCACGGCGCTGTCCTTGGGGGCGGGGGCGCACTGCCCTCCGCCGCACGCGGCGGCCGTGGGGGACGGAGGGCACTTGCGGCGGCGGCAGCGGCAGGGTTTGGGCAACGGCCGAGCGTGCAGACGTGAGGCGGCGCCAGTCCACTCAGTACGCGCGGGGCGGTCGCCCCGCGGAGGTCCATTCGGCGCGGGCCGCCCGTGCGTTCCGTGCCCGGTCTCACGGGTGCTGGGGCGTGCAGACCAGGGAGCCCGCGGATCCGGGGACCCGCGCGGATCTGCGCTGAATCGCCAGCCCCTCCTGGGTCTCGCGAGAACTCAGACGCTCGTCTCGCGATACGAGCGCAGAGAGGAGGGAGATCTGAGCGGCTACGGCGGCGGCGGCGGGCTGACTGACTGGGCCGGTGAGCGGAGGGCCGGGAAGCTGATCAGGGGCCGTGGGGGAGAGCCGGGCCGAGCCGAGCCCGGGGACTGGCGGACTGGCGGGCTGGGACGCGACGGGGGAGGGCGGGCGGGCGGCCCGGGGTCCGGGGCCGGGCTGCCGCTGAGGCCGGTCTGGGCACCGCCCCCTCCGTCCCCTCCGGCCCCGGACCCGGAGGCCCCTCGGCGCCCGCTCACCTCCGCTCCCGCTCCGCCTCCCGAGTCCCCGCGCCCCCTCTACCGTCCCCACTCACGCCCCTTCCCCGGCTCCTTGCCGTCCTTCTGCGCCCGGGCCGGCCCGAGCCCCAGCGCTCGCCGCTCCCCGCGGGCCCTCAGGGCGTCCTCCGCGAGAGGGAGCCGCCGCACGCGGCCGGAGTCCTCGAGGCCGGCGGACCCCGGAGGAGGCTCTGCCCGGCCCGGTCCTCGGGAGGCGGCGGCGGCGCTGTCGGTAGGAAGAGGCGTCCGGGCCGCGCCACCTGCGCTTCCCCGGGGGAGGCGTAGGGGTCGCTGCGGCTCCGCGCCGCGGCCGGGCGGGCGGCGACCCGCGGGTAGCCAGACGCCGGGGCCGGGCGTTTCGCACCTGGTGCGAGCGCGGAGAAGGCCGCGGGGCACGGTGGGACGGCGGTGCGCGGGCGCCCGCACGGGGGCTCGGGGAGGCTTGGCCGCCGGAGGCAGCGGACGGAGCCGGAGCTGCCGCCGGCGCACGCCGAGCGGGGCGGCGTCGTTCCGGCCGTGGGTCGGGGGCGCCCTGGTGTGTCGCCCGCGCCCCTTCTCGCGGGGACCGCGTCTTCGGAGACGGCAGGCTGGCTGCGCTGCCCGTCCTGGGGCGGCAGGTGTGGCCCGGGTCTGGCCTGGCGGACGGCGGGATTAGCGCTGCCGCCTCCGGCCGGGCCTGCGCCTGCGAGCCTCGCGCACCCGGTGTCGGTCCTGCTCTCCGTTCCCCTCCGTGGTCCACCGAGAGCGATGGGCGGGGAGGGAGTGACGGCCCGTGGTCGACGGGGCTCCGCGCGCGCGCGCATTGCTACGGTGCTCGTGAGGTGGGGACCTCAGAATGAAAGTAGAGGTCCTCACTTTCTCGGTTTTTTAATTTTGGGGGAGGTGTTTTCAACCTGATACTTGGGGGAAATCTGCTAGAGCCAACTTTTCCTAAGGCGAAAACGGCCCCCACCTGTGGGTCCTTGGCTGGTAACTAACTGCCTGGGGCGCTCTGCCGCTCAGCCCCACAGGGCCGCAGCTGGAGGGCCAGGCAGACCCGGGGTCCAGGCCTGCGCCATCACTTTAAAAATAACAGGTTTTACTTATTTTTAGAGAGAGGGGAAGGGAAGAAGAGAGGGAGATGAACGCCCATCAGCTGGATCCCACTTGCCCCAAACTGGGGACCAGGCCTGCAAACCAAGCACCTTCCCTGACCGGGGATCAAATAGGTGACCCTTGGTTCACAGGCAACACCCAACCCGCTGAGCCACACTGGTCAGGGCGCTGTCACCTCTTGCGATGTCTCATGTCAAAGGACACAAGGAGAGTCTTCAGGCTGCTGGGTAACAGTTGTACCACCTGCCCCCTGAAGACCTCGCACGGACCCTGTGACCTTCACAACCACTCTGTGAAGTGTTTCGTGATCTCAGTTTACAGATGAGGAAACTGAGGCTCAAGGAGTCTATGCCCGTAAACGTCAAACAGCTTTCTTTTTGGTACTTACTTGGTTGAAAATAACAGAACTCACTGATGTCGTAGTTTAAGAATGAGCATCGCTGTGGTCAGTGCCATCCTTGCGGCCCGTGTCCCCAGCGGCTGGGCTTTCGGCACGGGCACCTGGGGGACGCATGCCACTGACTGCGGAACCCCTGCCGCTCCGACGGTCAGCGGCGCGGTGGCCTGCTGGCTGTTTCTGCCTCCATCTCTTCTCCGGCAAATCAGCCGTCTGGGCCCCCAGCCGACCCCGAAGAACGTGGCTGTGGGCCCTGGAGTGTTTCGAGGGCCCCGAGGGTGGCAGGGCTCCGCGGGGCGGCCGGCAGAGCGGCGACGGCGTGGGAAGGCTGCAGTGACCCTGTCTGGTCTTCCTCTAGGAGGCGCGGCCATGGAAGACCTGGGGGAGAACACCACCGTCCTGTCCTCCCTGCGGTCCCTGAACAGCTTCCTTTCCCAGCGAGTGGAGGGCGGGGCATGGCCGGCGGCGTCGGCCTCTGCCCCAGGCGCTCTGCAGCTGCAGTACCAGCAGAGCATGCAGGTGAGCCTCGGCCGGGGGAGGGGTGTCTGAGCGGGGGTGTCCCTCCGGAGCTGGGGCCTGCACGGGGTCCGCGCGGTGCAGCCGAGCGCCCTGGGCTGGGGACGGGGTCTCTCGCGTGGAGACACCTGCCCTTGGATGGGCCGGCTCAGTCTCCACACCCAGCCGGTCCTCAGATCTAGGTGTTTCCTTCCAGGGCTGCGGAGGCACCCCGGGAACTTACCTCTTGGTTAGACCCCTTGGCCTGTGGGGTGGCTGGGTGGGCTGCAGGTCGTTCGGCTCAGAGCCGTGGGCCCGGTGGCTGATGTCTGGACGAGGCAGTCAGTGTTTCCTCAGCCCCGAGGCCGGCGGGCTGTATTCCAGGCCTCTTGATGGGGTCTTCACGGTCTGGGGAAGGCGGCTGGGAGCCCCGGCCTGGCCCTGGGCTGTCCTGGCTTCCAAGCGGATTTGTCAGCACCGCAGAGTGGTTCTGGTGCTCCTCCTGGGCTCCCGTCAGTGAGCCCACAACACCGGCGATAGGACCGCAGGGCTGGTTCACTCTGGCTGAGGAAACCCCAGGCTGCCTGGGGGCGTGGCCCCTGGCTGTCCAGCCAGCTCTGGCCGCCTTCACCGTGGAACCGTGGGGAGGCCGTGCGGTGCACGCAGGCTCTGGGCCCGCCTGGCGGGAGAGCCAGGCGGGGAGTAGAGGGGCGGGTGTGTCGTGGGAGCCCGTTGTCAGGTCCTGGCCTCCGTCTGCCCTGGGGTGACTGTCATGGTTTTACTCTGATCGTAGAGTTATCTTGCTTTGTTCCAAGTTGTTGGCAGTGCCCACTGTAGACGCAGCCGTGAGGTGGGCAGGGGTCACTGGGCCCGCCTAGGGCGGGGCCGTGTGTCTGCAGGCTCGCCTGGGCCCCTGCTGCTCTGTGCTGACCGCTGGGCCCGCGCGTGCGGCCGGAGCCCTTGGGCGGCTCCCTCTGCCCCGAGCCCGGCGAGGCGGTGCGCGCGCTCCCGGCGCGGCTGAGCTGCTGCGTGACTGCCGGTGGGTGCAGTCGCCCATGGCCTTTTTTTGGCAAAGCTGGTTCTTTATCTTAAAGTAAGGGTTTTTATTTTTGTTTTTGGTGTTAAACACATTTTTATGAAATAACGGTGGTAATAGATTGCACTTATTTTTTGTCATCCTCACCCACTGGTTGAAAGAAGTTAGAATTTCACCGATGCGCATGCCTGGGCACTTTTGGTCTGTCAGGGCTGAAGGTTCTGGAATTTTGGCGGTCCCCCATTGTCTCTCAGCCGGTGCTGAAGGCTCAGGGATGGAGTGGCAGAGCCAGAGTGAGCTGGTGCGGGTTGCGCAGCTGGAGCACCTGCCGCGGGCCCTGCCTCTCGCAGGCCAGCCGGGTCCGTGGCACGTGCCCCCTCCTGCGCCTCCCCCAGCGGCAGGCCCGGGGTCCTGGAGGCGGAGAGCAGTGCTGCTTCCCCTCCGGTCCCTTCCTTCCTCCTTTTATTAAGGTTCCTGTTTGCCTTTGAAGGTGCTTGTGGTTTGTTCTACTACATTCGTTTGTGTAAATATAAAAATCGTGTTTCAGTTATTTCCCTTCAAACGCAGTCAGTGTTCCGGGAAGATGCGGCCATGGATCCTGTGTCTCTGGGGCTCCTGGCCGCTGCGGGGCGGCACGCTGGAGCCGAGGTGCTGCGTCCTCTGGAGACGCTGGCCCTGCCTGCAGACCCAGAGTGAGACCAGGAAGGCCAGGTGTTGGGTGGAGGGCAGAGTCAGGAGCCTCCTTGTGTCAGCAGGTGGGGAGTGCAGTGGGGGAAATATCAGAGGGGTAACGGAGGCTTGGGCCTCCAAGGAATGTGGAGTGGGTGTGTGGAGAAAATGCCTTTTCTCTGCCCGTATTTCTCACCCTTGGTACTGTTGACGGTTCGGGATGGATAATTCTTTGATTTGCAGAACTTCCCTGTGCACCGAAGGGTGTTCAGCAACACCCCTGGCCTCTGCCCACTAGGCACCTGTAGCGAACATA